ATTTGAGACGTTCGGGTTTCTTGGTCGTTAGTTCATAGATCACGAACACTCTGCGGTAATTCAAGATCCGTAATCGTTGGGTGGCAGCCACCTTCAACTCGACGTCCGTCATTCCTCGACGTGGTAGCTCGACGATCAGTTTAAATTCTGCCGGTACGGTCTAGAGTACAGGGTGTGATTAGGGAATTGACCCCAAGGAATCCGAATTTTACAGTCCCGAAACCCCCCTAGCCCCCCTTCGGAGGTAAAGGAGGTGTTACGATCCCCAAAGTCGGGGTTCTCGATAGAATTGTGATTCGATTGCATTAAAGGTGAAAAGTACGTGAAATTTCACGTGAAATTGACCCCTAAAAATCCAACATCGGACCTTTTTACGCCCACAAATGATTTTTTAAAGGGGAGGGGGGGGGACAGCAACCCCCTTCATAATTTCCCTTTTGTCAAAAATTGACGTAGATTCTCCAGAAAAAGATGGTTTCCCTGATAATCGACCCCAAGAAATACGATTTTTATGGGTCGAAGCCTCCCTTTGGGGGTATACGGGGGAGGCAAAGTTTTAAATGCTCCCGAAGCCCCCCTAGCCTCCCTACGGACGTTAACGGGGGAGGCACAATTTCCCCGACTTTCGAAATTGTGCCCCTCCCGTTTACCCCCAAAGGGAGGCTAGGGGGGTTTCGGGACCATAAAAATCGGATTCCTTGGGGTCGATTCTGGGAAACCATTTTTTTCCGGAGAATCTACGTCAATTTTTGACCAAAGGGAAGTTATGGAGGGGGCCGCTGTCCCCCTCTTTAAGGAATCATTTTTGGGCGTAAAGTGGTCCGATGTTGGATTTTTAGGGGTCAATTTCCCGTACTTTTCACCTTTACTGCAATCGAATCGCAATTCTATCGAGAACCCCGCCTTTTGGAATCATAACACCCCCTTTATCCCCCAAGGGGATCTAGGGGAGTTTCGGGACTATGAACTTCGGATTACTTGGGGTCAATTTCCCGCGAACTGCGACCTCGTGCGACCTAAACCAACGGAGAAAAAGGCCTGGTACGGGTGGTCTGGGACACCCTTTACAATCCTCCACGGAGGTAGACATTCCTCCTCTGCGTCGATCCGTTGGTGACCGTTTTGATCATTTTTGCTATCGGTGCGATGGTCCGCGCGGCCAGATTGCTATTCGTCAGGAAATTCTTGACTTCGGCACCCATCTTGAATAAAGGTAATTTAAATATAATCTTTACGACGCGACTCGTCGTCGTGTCGCGTTGTCAAGCTAACAAAATCGCTTCGAGTCGGAAATTTCGACGAATGAAATAAGAAAGATGAAAACCGACGACAACACAGCGAACCGCTTCCTGACTATTGGCCTGGTGTAAGAAGGACGATGAGGAGGCATAGACGATGTTCAGGTGGACGCCACGACGGGAAGTATATTGTAGGGCCGCCTCCTCAGGAGGCTTGGGCGGGCCAGGCTTACATGTTGGCCTATTACATGTTCTTTTTTTATTTTTTTTAAAAAAAAAAATCATGTAATATAACTAGGTAGTTAATTAGATGCGACTTATGCATAGCACTCAATAATATAACACGTAAAACTTAAGTATTTATTTAACATCATCTAACATTTTATAATTGACAATAATAATGACTTTTATGTAGGTACTTGATAACAGAAATAATCAAGTTTATTATTTGAATCAAAGAATTTCGTATATTAAAACGGGAGGTGCTAAAATTGTTAACGATTAAAATCATAACTAAAATCGGTTTAACACAAAAACATGATATAACGAGGAACTTTAATTTGTTATTCAGGGGAGTATCTGTCTGGTGCCTTTGAGATTCTCTTACCTGCCAATCGTTTTCTGTTTAGACGTTATTGGTGTAGCAGGTGTCCTCTTTTGAATAGTGGGGTGAGCCTGCGGGGTGGAGTATTCTGAGTCAGAATCGTTGTCACTGACTAATATAGTTCCGGGGCGTTGATTTTGAACTGAAAGCCTTCGGGGCATTGTAATTGGAAATTCAGCTGATTTAATATTTGATTCAGTATTCTACTTTTTTACATCAACAGAGGGCTTTTGATAGGAACTAAAATCTTGATGTTCTAAACTAAAAGACACTTTTATAGGATATTCCTTGGCATAAAAACGCGTGCGTCTATACTGATTACCTGATTCTGTTTGCACAATGTATGAGTTTGGTTCTTTGCATTTACATACAATTTTAGCAGGTTGACATACATTTTTAGGAGTTTTCTTAAAATATACCTCCTCATTTCACTCCTCATTTCATTTTCTTTAAGGGGTTTGGCGTTGGGATAATGATCTACCATACTTTGCTTTCTCTTTTCTAATGTCTAGGCATATCCATCAACATTAACCAGATTTGGTTGTAGATGTTCATGAGTGCTGGGTAATCTTTTTCGAGGCTAATAGTACGATGTATTAATTAATACTGCATGTGCGAATTTTTTTTAAAAATTTCGGAAGTGCTTTCAAAATTCTGGAAAGTGTGTTATTTCGCGCCCAAGGGTCTACAGTTGGTAGGTATGTTACCACATTTTCGAAAGGACCCCGCACACTTCTTATGGGAAGCTGCACCATGAAGGATTGCCTTCTGACTTATGTCATTCGATTCTCCTCAAGATGCTGATCTAAAGTTATAAATGCGCCAACTTTCTACGATGCACCGTTTTCGCAAAAAACCTATGAGAAGATTCAATTATTCGATGATGAAAAGCCAGAAAGATTCCTCATTTTAGTACCCGATTGACAAGCGGCTGTGTATCAACAAGGAAATCATGGGGACTCCCGCACCGAGCGGCAGTCTTATCTCGGATTCCGCACGCCGTTTTGCTCGACCACCATCCAAATCAGATTCTTGAGGAGCATAAGAACAGGAAAATCTGAACGTCTACCGGGCGAGTGCGGGAGGGAGATAGCCCCTGAGTCGGCAAGTACAGATGAGAAGACGAATACGCGCTACGTTTTTTCCTTATTCACTTCGGGCCTGTTCTCAAATGCATCGTTCTTTTTTATTCATAGTCGCCGAATAATTGAATCTTCTCATAGGTTTTTTGCGAAAACGGTGCATCATACAGGGTGTACCAAAAGTCCGTCCCACCCCTGCTAACTTTTGAACGAATTGAGCTAGGGTAATGAAACTTTGGGAATGTTCCTATCTCAAAGGGGACCATCTTTTGGGGGGGTCAAAATTTTGGTCCCCCCTCAGGGGGGGCGCGCGGGGCCCCCAACTTTTTTTTTTCAAATGGCAACCCCTATCTTGTGATACATCATTCGAAAGAGCATAAAAAACTAAGAATTTTGGCGTAAACCGCAGATCAATATCTTAATTTTTGACCGAGTTATGATAGGTCAAAGGTCAAATTTGACCTATTTTCAAAAAATCATAACTCCGGTTCAAATTATCGCAAAGAAAAATATAAAACGGGAAAATTTACCAAATTGTGTCCGCTTTTAAGTTAAAATTGCAGAAATCACTTCGCTGTAATTTTAAGGGGGGGCTCGGACCCCCAAATACGTCAATTCAAAGGTCATTCAATTTTCCCGCGAAAAAAGGCAATTTCCCCTAGATTTGCCTCCACATTATCTCAGTAAGGTCAAAATTAGTTCTACATTACGTTGGCAAGTCCCCAAATTTCGGGAAAAGTTAAAAAAAAAAAAACGAAATTTAAGGTGATTAAATTATATTTGACCGTTTAAATTTCGTTTTTTTTTTAACTTTTCCCGAAATTTGGGGACTTGCCAACGTAATGTTGAACTAATTTTGACCTTACTGAGATAATGTGGAGGCAAATCTAGGGGAAATTGCCTTTTTTCGCGGGAAAATTGAATGACCTTTGAATTGACGTATTTGGGGGTCCGAGCCCCCCCTTAAAATTACAGCGAAGTGATTTCTGCAATTTTTACTTAAAAGCGGACACAATTTGGTAAATTTTCCCGTTTTATATTTTTCTTTGCGATAATTTGAACCGGAGTTATGATTTTTTGAAAATAGGTCAAATTTGACCATTGACCTATCATAACTCGGTCAAAAATTAAGATATTGATCTGCGGTTTGCGCCAAAATTCTTAGTTTTTTATGCTCTTTCGAATGATGTATCACAAGATAGGGGTTGCCATTTGAAAAAAAAAATTTGGGGGCCCCGCGCGCCCCCCCTGAGGGGGGACCAAAATTTTGACCCCCCCAAAAGATGGTCCCCTTTGAGATAGGAACATTCCCATAGTTTCATTACCCTAGCTCAATTCGTTCAAAAGTTAGCAGGGGTGGGACGGACTTTTGGTACACCCTGTAGAAAGTTGGCGCAACTATAACTTTTGATCAGCATCTTGAGGAGAATCGAATGACATAAGTCAGGAGGCAATCCTTCATGGTGCAGCTTCCCATAAGAGGTGTGCGGGGTCCTTTCCATGCGATACGGCGGCTGACAGTCGGCCAGAACGGTAATGTGCGGCCTTTTGCCCCCACCTACCCTACATTTTAGGATCTTTGGTAATTGTTAAAAATATTTAGTAAAATACGTAGTAAAAGATTTATTATTGGTAGTATCACTCAAAAGATTAAGTAATAGTGGTGATTAAGTATTAGTTGTATTTTACTGAAGGCCGCTTTGCCCCCATTTGATGATGTAGGTAAATATAACCTCAAATTCAAGGCCATTAGCCCAAACGTGACTGCGGGATATTCAAACCATCCTTATCATTGTTCGAACTGCAGCCCGTCCGAATTTTTCTATTAACTACAGAAATTGAAATGGACCAAAATAAAATTGGAAAAATTAATTTTTTTTTCACGAAAAATTGACTCTCCTATTTTAGAGGGAACGCGTCCGTTCGGTCCGAAACTTCCGCAACACAACATCACCACCTTTACCAACATACCTGACACGGTCCCAGTGCCAACCTAAACAATCCTCCGAAAAAACTGGGATGCAGCCTTTTGCTACATGCGACCTTTTATCCCCACTTACCCTACAAACCTACTAATTTTGTGATAAGATCTCATTGGCTTGGCAGAATATTTACCCTTTTTGAGGGTTTATTGTGGTTTATGAATTACCGTGTATACGATTTATACTAACTCATTTGATATGGGAACTCACGTTTTCCAAGTTTCAAGTTTTCTATTTTTTTTAAAAAAAAGTTTCATTCAGTGCCGAGATCTCATTGCCTCCCCCAATTTTTACTCTTTTTGGAATTTTCGGCGGTTTAAAAATTTACTTAAATACAGAATAAACTAGAAGTAGTTATTAATGATCAAGACAAGCAAATTAATGACTCTTTTATCAAGTTATGAGCCTTTCGCATCCTCTTTTAATTAGAGCATTGTATAAGGAAGTGAAGTTCTGACACTTTCATCAATAAAGATACCGAGTCTAACCTTGAAGTTATTCATCCAAAGGTACCTAAAGAGGTAGAAGTAGGTAAGTACTTAAAGAGGGATGATCAGTTTTAGAAGTTGTAAACTCATCAGCACTCATTTATGCTGAAAAAAAACTGTTTAATTTGCCTCAAGCTGAAAAAGTAAGCCTCGAATTGAGATCTGCTCAAGTATAGATCGCAGTGTAGCTGACAACTTGCCCAGTATTTCAAAAACAGTGGTAAAATGAGTTTGCATCAAGCTTTCCTCAAGAGATAGGTAATCCTTTGTAAAGCCACCATGAAGCCTGTTATCAGTCTTCCTCGAAGCCTTGCTGCAACCTTAAAGTCTTGTGGTAAACTTGCATTGCAATTTGCAACAAACTTGCCCAGATCTATAAATTGTGGAGAAATGAGTTTGCAGCAATCATCCGGCAAGCCAGAATCAATCTTGCTGCAAGCTCTTGTGTTGGATTCAAACTTCCTCACATACAGAGCCCCTGATGATTTGACGAACTTTCCCCTTGAATATTTTGAAGTTAAAGCTGTCCGCCTCGAGCTGATTCAGTTGGTATGCAATGTAGTTGTTAACAAGTAGCCAAAGAATTCCAGTTTTATCAACTCTGACGTCGTTTGGGTACGACAACTCGGTGTCATCTTGAACGATTATCCCTTGTGTTTTTTCGCTGAATTCCTCACCTCTAAAACAGATAAGAGTAGGTACTTAGTGTGAACTGAATATTTGCTTTCTAAATGTTTCGTGACCCGCACTAAAAATGAGATTGAACTTTTCATTTACCTTACTAGACAGATGCTCTCGATAGGAACTTGTACATACAACCGGCATGTATCGATTCGCATTAGGCCAAAACGTTAAGTTACTAGTAGGTAGGCATGTAAGTTGTAAGTATCATGTCAGCTACTTGAGAACATCAATTTGGTTCGTATTAAATCCAGGAATATTATACTAACCGTGGACGAGTAATGCGACGTTAGTTGTCCTATTTATAATTAGTTGCTCAGATGGAACGTTTACTTATGTATACTCATTAGACTCAGTAAAACTTACCTGTTTTACCGAATTTGCGTGAGGTACCTACTTACATGTTGGCACTTTATCAGGCAGTATAGATCCAGGTTTATGGAAGAGACCAAAATATTCCGGATAGTTTCAATTCGTGAAATATCGTTGTGCAAAAAATTATGATGAGATATCTTGTCTTATAATGCTCCAAATCTTACCCTATCGAACAGTTGAGTAGCTTACCGGAAGGAGTTCCAGCAGCCTAGTGCGTTTTTGGCAATGAGAGTATAAAAGAGGATGCCGGTCTCCTCATCCAAAGAGGCAGCGGAAGACTGGCCTCGGGGTCCGCGGGAGCCCATAACCTTAAACTCGTACATGGGCCGTTCGTAGTTGAACGTCTTGTTTTGCAGTATCTTCGTCGAGATTATGAACTGCATTGTACTAGCGTAGGCACTGAAGTAGAGGCGTCGATAGCCATCACGGTCCACTGGCGATGTGGCGAGGCTGTAGATCCCGTGACGCACATGGATATGTCGTCCGTTGTTTATGATAAACCCGAACAACGGGTCGAAATGGAAGAAGTTGTGTGTCTCTCTGTAAGAGGCATCGTTACGCCAACTATAAATGATGAGCATGTACCTGCAAAAAATTCGGCTCGCATCATCGAACAGTTAACAGTAAGAGATGTATCACATATGCGAAATCAACTTCGAAAATCGATAACTTCGATCTTCAAGAAGCATTTATCAGAGCGTTCGTAAATTTCGATGGCGACTAGCAAAATTTTCAGGGGGTTGTTATGATGTTGGCATCAGTGACTACTTCTGGAGGTCAATAATTCCTAGAACGTGATTCCGTCAGTTCAAACAAGTTCCCTGCTATAAGAGTTCCATACAAACCCACAGAGAAATTATTATTATCCGTAGATTTTAAAAGGGATCCGCGTACTTTCATGGAAATCCATGCAAATTACATGGATGTGCCAAGCTTTGTACGCCTACGAAAGCTACGAATACTCGCGAAACTATATAGGTACCTTCGGATTCCGTGTAAATTTCTGATGATATCCATACCTTGCTCTGATGTAAACAAACTTTTAAGTACACCCAGAAGCGCCAAGAATTACGCAATTGATCTGAAAACACTTAAAGGAAAGAATCACTGCCATTAATACCCTTGGAAAAATAATAATTTGGGCACCTACCGGTCGGAGCGTTGCCCGCCTTTGTTCGAAACTAATACAGGTTGCTATCAAAGATACTAAGAAATCCTTCATCCACAAATCACTTTAAGTCAAAATTTTACCGGGAACCACGCAAACTCTACCCACTCAAATCAACACAACCAAAATGAATAAAAAAATATTAAAAGTCCAAAATTCCGAAATCAGCATACCATTGAAATTATTCGAATTCCAGAATTAGTTCGCCATGTATCCGCTTTGTAAGACTTGGATTAGTTTATGTTAATCGACACCATCAGACTTTGGTTCGGTTTGGTTGGGTTGGTTAATGTCACTTGACAACAGCAAACTTGGATTACTTCTGCGAGCAGTTTAGATTTAGCGCATATAAGCAAACGTATGATACCTAATAGAAATTTTGAAATTTCATATATTCAATAATGGAAAAAAAATAAAGAAAAAAACAAAAAAACGAGCACAACGTTATTGTAAGAAAAAGCAATACAAAAAGAGAGAATCACGCCAAAAATACGAAACACATTGACGTGGTTACGGCCATTTGCCGAAAGCACTGACCGATAGACAGGGTGAGTGGAGGAACGGTGAGCGCAGCCTGGTAAAATAGTCGTGACTGGCCGAAAACACTGTGGACTCCCAAGCAAAAACGTCACATGCACAGTAAAAACACGGCTCATCCGTGCAGCTCATCTGGATGAGCCGCGTTCTTGCTGGGTACCCGGCGGTTGCGGCGTTCTTCCTGTGTCGAGGTACCAAGTTCGGTGGATGTACGGCAAGCGCGGACTCCATGTCTCGGAAACTAACAGTGGTGTCAGAATTCTGATTTCACCATTAAACCCCTTGTTTAATTACCTCATTTTCATATCGAACTGAATTTTTTCAAATTTTGGATTTACGACGTTTTTACGTTGGACGACAGCTTTGTGGAACCTCGTTCGAAAGAGCATAAAAAAAAAAAAAATTTTCGCGCCAACCTTAGCTCATCATTCTAAACCGTTTCAATATGGTGGCAGGTTAAAGTTCAAGATGGCCGAAAATTGACGCAGGTTGTTTGTCAATCGATTTGCGTGACAATTGGTATCATAGGGTATTTTAACACACACAAAAAAAACAGATTTGAAGTCAGATTTTCAACAAAATCAAAAGTTTAAAACGGCCGCCGGTTGAAGTTTAAAATGTCCAAAAATTGCCACCTCGGCTTTTTGCCGATAGATTTGCCTGAAACTTTGAACTTAGGGGTACTTTGGCAGACGATTAACAAAGAAGTTACAATTCTAAATCAACCAGTTTTTGGCCGTTTTGAAAGGACCCTACAACAAAACGGCTAAATGGGCCTAAACACGGAATCCTACGATTTTCTCAGGGATGATAAAGGGTCTTCCCGGACACTCAAAACTGGTCATATTTTTTGCCTAACCCCCAGGGAAAAGGGGGGAATGGGGGGTCAAAGTCAAAAACTTTAAAGTAGCATAACTTCTCAACGGTTTGTCGTAGAAAGATGATCTTGGTATCAAAATTTCCAAAAAAATGAGAGCTTTCAGAATATATGTATGAAATCAATAAAATTTTAAATTTTGACTCACTTTTGGGGGAATTATACAAGATCCCCCTTTCGTAGATATTCGTTTTTCGATATTTTCGGTCGTTCAGTTCGCACGGAGCAAAACAAAAACAACCCTAAATGAAAGTTTCAACATGGGTATAATATATCGGAAAGATAACGGACCCCAACTTTTTTTTCAAATGGAAGGACCCTCTTTGTGGTACTCCTTCGAAAAAGCGTAAAAAAAGAAAAGTTTCCATGCAAATCTGAGATCATTATTTTAAACCGTTTCAAAATGGCCGCCGGTTAAAGGACCCTACAACAAAACGGCCAAATCGGCCTAAACACGGAATCCTACGATTTTCTCAGGGATGATAAAGGGTCTTCCCGGACACTCAAAACTGGTCATATTTTTTGCCTAACCCTCAGGGAAAAGGGGGGAGTGGGGGGTCAAAGTCAAAAACTTCAAAGTAGCATAACTTCTCAACGGTTTGTCGTAGAAAGATGATCTTCGTGTCAAAATTTCCAAAAAAAATGAGAGCTTTCAGAATATATGTATGAAATCAATAAAATTTTAAATTTTGACTCACTTTTGGGGGAATTATACAAGATCCCCCTTTCGTATATATTCGTTTTTCGATATTTTCGGTCGTTCAGTTCGCACGGAGCAAAACAAAAACAACCCTAAATGAAAGTAGAGGACATAAGGTTTAAAACAAGCCCAAGTTCATCTTGGGGAAACGATTAGAAGCGGAGTTATGAGTCTTCAAAGTTGACGCGGCGCGCGGGAACCTTGTATGTTCCGAGTCTCAAGGTCACCTGCGCCCCCCGGATTGCCTGCAGGTCGCAAGTTTTTGTGTTTTCATGCTTCTGTAGGTCGTTTTTCATGTAAAACATTGAATTTAAAAATTCAGATTATACTATCTTCATTAAATGTTTTACATGAAAAACGACCTACAGAAGCATGAAAACACAAAAACTTGCAACCTGCAGGCAATCCGGGGGGCGCAGGTGACCTTGAGACTCGGAACATACAAGGTTCCCGCGCGCCGCGTCAACTTTGAAGACTCATAACTCCGCTTCTAATCGTTTCCCCAAGATGAACTTGGGCTTGTTTTAAACCTTATGTCCTCTACTTTCATTTAGGGTTGTTTTTGTTTTGCTCCGTGCGAACTGAACGACCGAAAATATCGAAAAACGAATATATACGAAAGGGGGATCTTGTATAATTCCCCCAAAAGTGAGTCAAAATTTAAAATTTTATTGATTTCATACATATATTCTGAAAGCTCTCATTTCTTTTGGAAATTTTGACACCAAGATCATCTTTCTACGACAAACCGTTGAGAAGTTATGCTACTTTGAAGTTTTTGACTTTGACCCCCCACTCCCCCCTTTTCCCTGAGGGTTAGGCAAAAAATATGACCAGTTTTGAGTGTCCGGGAAGACCCTTTATCATCCCTGAGAAAATCGTAGGATTCCGTGTTTAGGCCGATTTGGCCGTTTTGTTGTAGGGTCCTTTAACCGGCGGCCATTTTGAAACGGTTTAAAATAATGATCTCAGATTTGCGCGGAAACTTTTCTTTTTTTACGCTTTTTCGAAGGAGTACAACAAAGAGGGTCTTTCCATTTGAAAAAAAAGTTGGGGTCCGTTATCTTTCCGAGGGGGGCCGGGGCCCTGCCCCCCGGAAAATTTTAGGAGAGTCAAAAAGTAGCTCCCTTTAACCTAGGAACGTCCTCCAAGTTTCAAACCTCTACCTCAAGTTAAAATTTAGAGCGGGGAGGAGACTTTTCTAACACCCCCCTTTATGTGCTCGGCACTTGGCAGCTTGACAACCAAGACCGTGTCCTAGTAATCAGCAGAAAAAAGAGAAGCTTGGATATTGGTACGCATTCTTTGGTTTGCACATTAAATGAGAGTTCAGATTAATTCTAAGATCTTACAACAACCTCATTAAATTCTCACTCCTAAAAATAATGTGAAGAATGGCTACTGAGTTTTATGAATTAAGTATTAACTGTTCAAGGGCTCAGGACCGGATCAACCTATTTGCCGCCCATGGGCCACCTGTATTTTGCCGCCCCCTTCTCATCCGTTTTGAAACATCAATAAGAAACATTCAATAGTGGTGCCGGAGGGGGGAGAAAGGGTGAGTGCATAAGACTCGTTTACCTGTGTTGGGCGCATTTTTTGTGAAAGCCCTGTCCACACCAGCAAAAGTTAATGGAACCACTCGCGAAAGTTGAGTTCCGTAAACGAGAGGTCGTTCCTAAGTTTCATTGAAAATGAATAAACGAGAAAATTTTGAAAAAAAACAAACATGAATGTAGTTTAATAATCTTATTGCTTTCGCAAAATTGAGGAGAGGAATCCGCCGCTAGTCAGCGTAGCGCTGCGCCGCCACCGCGCCGCGGGCTTCTCGCTTCTCCTTCCCCTCTGAAGTCCTCCTCATCATCGCTCACTGCGTCGCGTTGCGCCGCTCCAGGTTATGTCAAATTGCGCCTTCGGTTTCTCTCTTACACTCGGATCATTAAAGCAGTCGCCCCTTGTATGCAACAGTGCACCACCGAAAGACGACATAATGAAAAATTACTACATTTTTACTCTCGGGAAATAAAGTTTTTGCCGCTTTTTCTCGTTTGTATTTTTTTTTTTATATCGGATCTGATTTTTTTCATACCCATGTTGAAAAACTCGAAAAATATGCCGCCCCCCAGAATTTGCCGCCATGGGCCGTGGCCCACCCCTTACCTGATCTGGCCCTGCAAGGGCTCGAAGTAAAATTACACTAACTACATCAGACGTTGCCCAACATTGTTTTTCATTGAATTTCCTTTGAAGGGCGGACTACGGAGGCTCGTCTATCGGTTTAGTTTTTCAAAAAAGTGATATGTTATAATGCACCGATTATATTCCATCTCTGATATATCGATATAAATATCTGGTTGTCTCGTCTAGATGTAGCTCGGTATAAGGTACGATCCATCTTTTCAGGAATGATATTAGCATGATGTGAGACGTTAAAATCTTCAACGCTGCGTACCGAGATTGGTAGTTCGGAAATTTCACTGTCGGTAAAGTTTAACTCTAGCGGTAACTAACCTGACGTAATCTGTGACGTAGGCGTAGGCGTCTTCGCAATTGGAAGATGTGACGTCGACAGCTATTGTGGAGAGTTGGGAATCAGTGTCGTAGTCCTCGCGTTCCTTAAATAGGTGCGAGCGGATGATCACGTTCATCTTCAGGTCGATGACGTGAATGGCCGGGGGAGTCTCGCGCTTGCCGGCCACCTCGCCCGTATCTAATGCCCACAGCCGGCCGCATGGGTCAACTCGAATGGAGATGATCGACGTCATCTTCTTCGCCGAAAGTCGATGAACCGCCTCATCAGGGTACGGGATCAGCTTCGGTGATGTCATGTTCTTCGCTGCCGTCCCTGAAACCGAAAATTTAGGAACGTACGTAAGTTTCAACGACGAAAACAAGGAAAGAAGGACCAAGCGATATATTGTTTGGTTCCTACGTATAATCACACTTTTTCAGAGGCCATGCATCAAACAAGCCCGAAGGCCCTGGCCAGCACAGCGCCTAAAATAGGCATTTTTTTCATTTTAACTCAGCCAAGAGTTTTTGACGTTGTTCTCAACCAAAGGTTTTAGTGCGTTTTGCTAAAATACTTTCTAAATAGCCAGAGTTGAAAACAGAATTTCCTCTCCCTTCAACATACCTACCTATCCCCGCTAGTGTAAAGGGCGAGGGGGTAGTGGTCAGCGAGACACTTGATTACTCCCTGAATGTGGTCCGTGCAAGCACGAGAATTTGGTCACGGATGTTCGTGAGGTCTAGGGACTCGCAGAGTCCCGGATCCATATCAGTGGTGAAACTGCAGAAGTGCGTATCTCGGAAAACTCGATTTTTCAGGAGAAGCGAAAACATTTTCCAGGCACATTTCCCCTTATTGTCAGTAGAGAGCAGATAATTCTTGAGAATAGGAAGAATGAGATGATTTTACGGACTCCAGCATTTTAATCGCAATAATCGCAATCGAAAAGTTTTGAATATTCGAATAATCACACTCGAATTCGATATGCGCCCATCCCCATTCTTCACCTCGACAAAAGAACTTTTGTCCGCGTCCTGCGGGTCCATTTTTTATCCCTTTCGTAAAATCAGATATCAGTTCTCCCGTTGTTCTGTTCAGAGTGATTTCTAATGAAATTGCGGCGAGATACTCCAGACTTCAAACGTACACAAAGTGGCCTCCTCGTCGAGATGTCCCGGACTCATTTCTTCACTTACATTCCTTCATCTCGTCCAAAGAAGTTCCGTCCGAAAAAGGTTCTTTCAAAAGACGTCAAGATACATGCGAGTCAAGAAGGTAATAATGAGAAGTCATTACTTTCAAATAAAGGCCGCAGAAAAATTTTATCTCAGTGAATTTGCCTACTATAGTAAACATATTAGCAGAAAAAGTAATTTCGCCATTTCCAAAACAGCGAATATTTTGTATATTTCTTACTAGTCAAGGAGAAATACGAAAAAAAGGGGGTTAACCCGAAAAAAATACTTAACAAACTTTTCCTATGTAAACGTCATCAGTAGGTCCTTCTGAACAACATACCAAAAGTTTACCACGGTCCGACCCCGGAACACCTTCCAAAATGGCGGCCAAAATGAGGCCTCAGGGATTTAGGTTTTTTTAAACTGCGCATATATAGTGTCATGTGGGGTATCAATCCCTATGTAATTTTGGTCGTAGAATTCAGATATGGGGTCAAAAAAGTCCCCCGGTCAAAGGGGGTGCCCCAAATCCAAGATGGCGGCCAATTTTGAAAGGCAAGAGGGTGAATTTTTAAAATGCGCATACAGGTTCATGTGAGGTATCACTCCCTATGTAATTTTGGTCGTAGATTTCATTTATGGAGTCATAAAAGCCCTCCGGTGAAAGGGGGTGCTCCAAATTTCAAGATGGCGGTTAAATTTGAAAGGCAGGAGGGTGGATTTTTGAAATTTTCACGTGACATGGCAATTAAGTGAGGTATCATTTCTTATTTAATTTTGGTCGCAGATTTCATTTATGAAGTCATGAAAGCCCCCCCCCCCCTCCCCCTGTCAAAGAGGATGCCCCAAATCCACGATGGCGGCCAAATTTGAAAGCAGGAAGGTGAGCCGAAAAAACAACAATCACGTTACAAGGCAGGTTGGCTATCAAATTCTGCGTATTTTAGTCAAGGAGTCTGAATGAAATTTGAAAAATTAATTTTACACAAAAATGAGACATGACATGCATGATGGTGACAATCATAGTCGAGAAATCATAAATGGTAGGTAAGGTGTCTCGCTGATTAGTGCACATTAACTCAGAGTTCTAGTTTAGATGCCTTAGACACAGAGGATAAAAAATCTGAAATACCTGCTGTAAATACCGGGATAATGAAGTAAAAGTTCAGTACGTTTTAGAGGGTGGGTCTTCACTCCACCGAGGGCCATAGCAAAGAGGGCAAACCTATTTTATTTGGATTCATAAATTCAAATCATCGCACAGTTCTACGCTAAATTCTTTTATCTAAGTAACATGAAGCCATGGCAGTATTTGACGGGTGCCGAGGGAATGGACCATTTATGAAAGACTCCATTCACCTTAAAAGAAGCCAAAAATTCAGATACGCGCCTATAGTCAATTTCTCACCAAATCCATCTTTTGTTGGTAAAAAAGAGGTAAATTTTGACAAATTCAGTCACTGAAAGTAAACTTATTCAAATCATCGGCACACGCCTCGAATCCACCGGTTGTAAGGTCGTGCATGTGAAATAAGATGCAGCTCTTGATATCGTCAAAGAGGGTGGTGCACCTTGTACATAAGAAAACTGGCACAATTATTGTGAACGGAAACGATTCGAACCTATTCGCTTTTTTTTAAAAAAAAAACAGATCCGAGGACATCAATTTTTCTTTGCACTTAAGATGTGATATTAATTGCGTAAAGTCCAAGACGATCGCTCACAACACCCCTTGAATCCGTCACAGAATCGATCTCAGATAAGTAGCTTCTGTTCCATACGTTTAGGCTTTTGTTGCGATTTAACCTCTCACATGCACAGAATCGGAAAAGTATAACTATATTCGGTACGCGTATATCGGATCTTTACCTGTGCAAAAATGCTGATAGGTTCTTGAAACCTTAGCAAAGCTTTAAACGAACAGAGAAAGCTGGATAGAACGAGCCGATCTGAATGCTCTTCAATGGGAATGCTTTGATAAAAATGTAGACGAAATTTATCCTATTACAAGCAACTTGCCTCCAGTCCGAAATCGCTGCGTGAAATTATTCGGTATAATTGTAAAAAAAAAAGGTGTGATACACCATGCGGTATGAAAGTGAAAATATCAGAAAATGAACTTATGCTGCACAGACTTACGTATAAATTACGAAGACTTCATAAACTTGGCGACACCTCAGGAAGAAGATCCTGACAATCCTGACTCAGACTATGTCTCAGCATGTGCTGATTCAGATTTTCGCCCATATTGACTAGAGTTTGTAGGTCACGTTTAATATCCTTATCTTCATTAGGAATGCATGTGCTTCAAAATTAACAAAAATAACTCTTAGGTGCTCCTGTTCACATCTTTTCATACCCTGGACAGCCATGATGGTCACCATCATGCATGTCACGTCTCATTTTTGTGTAAAATTAGTTTTAATTAGGAATTTATGAATCCAAATAAAATAGGTTTGCCCTCTTTGCTATGGCCCTCGGTGGAGTGAAGACCCACCCTCTAAAACGTACTGAACTTTTACTTCATTATCCCGGTATTTACAGCAGGTATTTCAGATTTTTTATCCTCTGTGTCTAAGGCATCTAAACTAGAACTCTGAGTTAATGTGCACTAATCAGCGAGACACCTTACCTACCATTTATGATTTCTCGACTATGATTGTCACCATCATGCATGTCATGTCTCATTTTTGTGTAAAATTAATTTTTCAAATTTCATTCAGACTCCTTGACTAAAATACGCAGAATTTGATAGCCAACCTGCCTTGTAACGTGATTGTTGTTTTTTCGGCTCACCTTCCTGCTTTCAAATTTGGCCGCCATCGTGGATTTGGGGCATCCTCTTTGACAGGGGGAGGGGGGGGGGGCTTTCATGACTTCATAAATGAAATCTGCGACCAAAATTAAGTAAGAAATGATACCTCACTTAATTGCCATGTCACGTGAAAATTTCAAAAATCCACCCTCTTGCCTTTCAAATTTAACCGCCATCTTGAAATTTGGAGCACCCCCTTTCACCGGAGGGCTTTTATGACTCCATAAATGAAATCTACGACCAAAATTACATAGGGAGTGATACCTCACATGAACCTGTATGCGCATTTTAAAAATTCACCCTCTTGCCTTTCAAAATTGGCCGCCATCTTGGATTTGGGGCACCCCCTTTGACCGGGGGACTTTTTTGACCCCATATCTGAATTCTACGACCAAAATTACATAGGGATTGATACCCCACATGACACTATATATGCGCAGTTTAAAAAAACCTAAATCCCTGAGGCCTTATTTTGGCCGCCATTTTGGGGGGTGTTCCGGGGTCGGACCGTGGTAAACTTTTGGTATGTTGTTCAGAAGGACCTACTGATGACGTTTACATAGGAAAAGTTTGTTAAGTAATTTTTTCGGGTTAACCCCCTTTTTTTCGTATTTCTCCTTGACTATACTTTTTCAGTAGAACCACTCCTCACTTGGCTGACAGCATGCTAGAGTGTGGAGAAACAACATTGCTGCAGAACTGCTAACCTTAGACAAACAAATTCACCAAAATCGCGAGTGGCCCACTGTAGGATGTCTACGACGTGTTCCACTGGTTGTAAACTTCCCCAAAATTTGATTCTTGAATGATAAGATTCGACAAGTTTTAAGAATTTTATTTTTAAAAGTAAAGGACGAGGTTTTTTTTTTTTTTACTAGATCCTTAACCGTCATTGCAACTGGGGTTGTGTTGAGAGCAAATAGATTGGTGAACGGAAAAATGAATGAGAAGCTTGGGTCTCTACGGATCTTTACCATTGATATTAATGAAGTTGAGGGTAGAAGGAACTCCAGTCTTGAATCTTGGCGTTGCGATGAAAAGTTTATCATGCCATCTGTCGATGCTAAATGGTATGGAATGGTTTTTTATCAGGTCCTCCGCTCCTGATGTAAGCTCGTACTCCATAGATTTCCAGCTATATACTAGGTTGAGAGAGCTCACGGAGCAAGCTGTTCGATCCACAAGAGATAGCCCTACCAACAGCTGATGACTCAGGCATCTGTCGATGAACCAAATACATTATTGTGTATCTATAGTAGGGACCTACTCTACATATTGCCACAGGCAAATGGTGAACCCTAGTATCCAAAATACTAGTATCAGATACTTATCGAGCGGATACCATGTTTAATATGATTTACCGACATAATCCCGCAGTCAAAATTCCTCTGCGACAAAATCCTGACTGAAAAAAATCCCGCGGACATAATTCCGCCATAAATGAAAAAGTAAAATACATCGATAAAAGTGAGAAATTTTACCTTTCTTTGTTCCATGTTCCATGAGCTGATCCTTGTGAGTTTTATGACGAGAGTATTGGAAAATTGGTTGCGCGACCGAGTGTGATAAAAGAATAGAGCGGCATGTCTGTGCGATACCGCGCAAGAACTCATCCATCGGGCGGTTTTGGAAGTCGGCGCAGATAGTTTCAAGCCGTCGCGTAAGATCGCAGTACTTTTTTTTGCGGAAGAAGGGGTTTCCCGGCAACGACATCTTCAATTTTTTTTCTACACACTTGTTCCTCTTTTTTAAATGCATTTATTACCTTCCATATGGATGGGTGATTGGGTGCTTGGCGTCAAGAATGACGGCTAGCGCGTTGTGCCAACCGTCGACTGGGTTATTGGTGTGAGGCAGTCCACCCGCGACTGAATAAAAAACAGTTCCACATTTCAATCGGAAAAAGAGGTTTTCGCTTACGCCCGCGCCTGTCGAAGCGCCCAATCCACGTATCTTTGAAGTAGTTAATTAAAACGATCAGGAGGTCTTCGTTTTTATTATATAAAATTCAGTGCCCAGCCGCGGAATTTTGACGACTCTCCGTTTAATATCTATTTTACACAGTATTTAATAGTTCAGTCTAAATAAACCATCTAATACGTGTTTATGTATCTGTTATAGCGTTATACATTAACTAGTTGTTGTACAACGGAGGTTTTTGGTTAAGGTACTTAAGTACCTACATATATTATGAAATTTTAATTATACCGCTTTCTAAAGAAACCGCTGTTACCGCTGTGATTACCGCTGTCATTGTGTCGAATTGATAGTTTTTCCACGTAACTACCAAGCGGCGTTAGTTAAAGTGGGTAGGTAACGGCAGAGGTGAGTTTTACTGCGAAGCTGTACGTACGGAGCCATCTACCCAAACAAAATAAAGATCAATATTTTGGCTTCCTAGGGAAGGTTTTCTCTCAAGTGAAACATTTGGTTCCAGGACTTTTCGTTCATTTATTTTGAAAGGGACTATCACCTATCGATAACCGCAAAAATCATGGAAATCGGCCCAGTAGAACGCTTAAACAAACTATGAAAAAAAAAAAAAAAAAAATTACATTGTTTAAATGGGAGAATTCGCAACTTAACCACGCAATACAAAAAACCCTGGGTCATATTTTCAAAATCTGAATAGAAGGGGCTCATCTAGACAAAAGTGTCCGTCGATGGCCGTAAAAATACCTAATGAAAATCGGTCCGGTAGAACGCTGGAACTAATCGTCACCAGATAGGTACCTATGCAAATTTAGGAGGTCTCGGAGCTTATAGTATAGATTCCCCTGTATAGGCTTGTTTAATACCAAAGCCACGATTAGAATGTTGACTGCTTTCATCAGGTGCTCCGCAATTCCAAACGACTGTAAGTATGTGTCTTTATACATATTTCACGTACTCTTTGCCCGCTCATGGGGACAGAAATGAAAAGTTTCAAAACTACAATTTTTTTTTGTTGCATTTAGAAGGTCTTGCGCTTGACAAAAATTTCATAGATGTGCCTTTCGAAAAAAGATCAATCCAAAAAATTTCTCAAAATCTTCGTCTTAATTTTCTCGAGAAGATTTCAAGTTGGTACCTACCGAGAACAATTTTCCTACAACGCCCAGCCCTAAAATCACTTTTCGTTCAAGCACTTTGAACATTTTTTGCCTAAACAAAATGATTTCCCTTGTGAAGGCATATTTACCAACCATGTAGTGCCAAGAGACTTTTAATAAAATATACTGACTCACAACGTAACAGCGAGTGAAACACTTCCAACTTGAAATTCGATCATGGCAAAAAGTGAAAGCTGACCATTTCAGAGGTATAACTATTATTTTCACGGAGCACTACTACACAACTTGCGAAAAGCGGCAGAATTGAGGCACTCGAATCTGTTCGCAGCGGGATGTCTATCTCTTCTCGTATCGCGATTTGCTTCCAATATGTCTTCCATTCACGCCAGTTCAACATGATGATGACCCATCATATTCGGTACTTCCGTTTTTCACCGCAATGACATGGTCCTTTCAGTGCCCGCACTGATGCGACCTGACGTATGTCAATCTCATAGGTATCGTCCGTTTATTGCTGCCAGATTTCTTTAAGGATTGTATATTCTAGGTGGCAGGAGCCATCCCGGCCCAATCCTAAAAATATCCCCATAAAAAGTTGACGACCAAAAAAAAAGGGGGGGGGGAAGAAAAAAAGTTGAAGAGAGTGGCTACTGCCTTACTGGATATACACGGAGAAACTCGATCGGGCTCGCCTACACGGTTTGCGGTCCATTTAGCTCTTCTGCTAGTTAAGTCGTAGAGTAAACCCCAAAAACCCTCTAATACATGGGTAGAGTATGCTCAGCTCTACCCGTAATGCCCGCCCTTTTGAAAGAGGGTTTTTCGAAATCGGCGATTTCGCCCCCCTCATGGATTTTACATGTTGTTCCTTATCACAAGACACGCCTTTTTCCGGCATTGACAAGGTCACCCAAACGTTTTCCCGCGCGCTACAGAGTTGCCAAGTTGAAAACGTGAAAATTCCGTGAGTGGCATTAAAATTGAGCTATGAAGTCGCAGTTTAGACGAATATTTTCTAAAAAATGCGCAAGTCAAGAATATCTCAATGATTTTAATGTCGTATTAATTTTGACATGCATTGTTACCAATTTTTCGTTTTTTAAATTCCCCAATTTTTACAAATCCTCAATTATCAAAAAAGGAGTGTGTTTTGATTTGAAAAAAAGTTGTCTAATCGATAGTTCGTTTGATGCCGCATCTATCGATATATCATAGCTCACATGGAAATTTTTTGTTCCCGAGATATGACCATTTTTGTAAACAGCTTTATGGAGCGACGACGTTTGTTGAGTCCAGGCAGATAGAAATTTTAGCATCCAAAAACACCGAGTAGCATTATTTTCATACTTTTCTATGTAATTTTTGGCGCTGAATCCGAATTTGACCATTTCATAAAAAATTGTTGCCCGAAAGTTGCCAAATTTGGCAAAAATGGCTTAAAATCGGCTTTTTTTGCGGATTATGGCCAGTGACTTGCCAGGAGTTGATCAGACGACGACAAAATTGGTTATTTCTACAGGTAAAACTCTTTTAAACTCTCTACAAGCTGAGTGAAATTCTTTCTGCTCACGGCAAAATTAAACGCGCGGCAAGCAGCGAACTGAAAAAAGATACTGAAATCGGCGCTTTTTGCGGGTTTTGTCCTACTTTTCTTGTTTTCCGATTAAGATAATGTTTCTTGGCGAAACTAATGAACAACATGAGCAGAATTTAATAAAAATGATCAATAAAGTAAAATCGAACATATTCCAATGTTGCCAAGCTCAAACATAATACATTAAAAATTTAACACGTCAAACATTAACATACGTTAAACATTTAATTTTTGCTGGTTTTGTCGATATTTGCCCTATATTCTTTGTTCACTTTTTTATTTTAAACATATTATAAAATGTATCGCTCGTGCAAAATAATACACTTCTGTAGGATGATTAAAGTTTCAACTTAGGAGTATACTAATAACTATTATATTCAGTCCAGAGAGGAAAAAGTCATAAAACAGTGAACTTTGTTCAATCGTGTCAAGAAATCACATTTTAGAACATTAATGGAAAACTTTCTGATAATATAATTAATAAAATGTACTCTCCAGACTGATTTCATCAATAAAAGATAGGACGCATTGCAATATTGCCAAAATTACATACGATTGACGAATTTTGGCGGTACCTATTTGATCATTATCATTCATCGCCCTATATTCAGTATACATGTTTATTTTATAATTATAAGAAAATGGAGTTAAATAGAAAAAAGTATAACAATGCCACAGTGAAGAGGATGCCCAGGAAAGGGCAATATAAGGGGCTTTAAAAGGAGCAAGGAAGCTCCCAATTTACTGAGGACTCATGGGAGGACAAGGCACTATGGCGGTTAGGCGTCTTAGGGCGCGAGAGACTGCTCTTAAAGCGGCTTTTATTTATGTATGTAACAATACAAAAGTTCGTTGTTACACTCTGTATAATCAGATTGTCCTGAGAAATTTTCATCCAGTCGGAAAACAAGAAACGCAGTACAAAACCCGCAAAAAACGCCGCGATTTCGGTGTCTCTTTCAGTTTGCTGCTTGTCGCGCGTTTAATTTTGCCGTGAGCAGAAAGAATTTGATTCTGCTTGTAGAAAGTTTAACAAAATTTAACGAGCTTAAATTACGATTGACGGCATCATGATAAAACAACTGCTTGAATATTCATCTGTTTCAATAAAGAACAAATTTGAGTTATGCTGTAGGTATTATTACGGATACTATCGAATTCGGGAACGCTTGTAACGTTATTTTTCGAAGACGTCGTACGTCCTCGAAAGCACAATAAATGAATAGAGTGCTAAAAAATACCCCCCTCCCAAGTAGCATTTTTCAAAGTTAAAGTTGCAAGAAGTTGAAGCAATACTGGTTAAAAGTCGCAACTAAGTTGCAACTTAGTTGCAACTCTCAGTCAACATTTGGTCAATAAGTGCCGATTTTTGGCGATCTGATCGGAAGAAAAGTCGCAACTTATAGCAATTGAATTGCATGAATCTTGCAACTTATCTACGTTGCCAAAATCATCCCTGTATTAAAAATGGCCATGTTGGTAATAAAGTTGGTCTGGCCCAACATGGTAGCAACAGGGTGAAGGGAACCTGTTATTATATATGATATCAACGTGTTACCAATATGATATCACACAAAAAAAAAGGTTTCAAAATGCGAAATGCTCAAATTTAGGCGCGCTGCACGTTCTTAGACATACTTTTCATCGCGGACGCCAAAGAAGTGCCGCTGAGAGAACCCGACAATCAATGTTCGCCAGAATTAAGCCGCGCTGCGCTCGAGTTCCCAAGCGGTCACCCATCGAAGCTCTAACTACGCCCGACGTTCCTGAACTTCGGTGATCGCCCGAGTGTCGCTGCCACTCCGCCACGGATGCTCGCGTGGGGGAGGAGGCTAATTTAGCACTAATAAACGTCCCCAGATCTGATTCAATGATCAGAAGCAATGATATTCCTGCAATTTTGTACATCATTTAGTTTCACAATGAAGGATAAGAAAATAATATAAAGAAGATCAAGTTTTTGAAAGAGAAAAGTACGAAGAACACACGAAAAAACTAAAATAAAGTATGGACAGATAAATAGTTATCAAAAATGAACATATTAAAAACGAAATAAGATAAATAAATAATACAAATTAATGAAAAATTAATAATATTATTAATAATTTATTATAGTATATTATAATTTATTATATTACATTTATTATATTAAGTAAAGACCAGTCTTGTGACGTCCTTACCAGTTTGCGAAGAAGGCCGCGATTTTCAAATTTTAGACAAATGTAAGGACCGGGAACGATATTAAAGTTGGAACATGTTTCAACTTAATTGCAACTAGTTCCAACAATGATAGCTCCCTCGCCCTCGGGGGAAAGAGTAGGCAATCTGCACATCAATCTATTAGTTGCAAGAATTTAACGATTTTGTTGCAAGTTGTTACAATCTCTGCTACTTGGGTACTGAAAGTTTCAGCCACTTACGAAAAAATAACGAGGAGTTACATCAAGTTGAAAGACAAAAAATGGCAACTTTGGAAGCGCATAGCTCACTCATGAAGCGTTTTCGGGTATATGTGTACATAAGGAAAAAGTCATATTTTGAGCCGAAAAAGCGATCCTGAAAGTTAAGTACGTTAACTTCCGGACCCCCTGTATATATCGCCATACATGCGATACCGTAATCTGGGGTGAATGGGGATAGTTTTTTATACAATTTCAAGTCTGTAGGCCATTGATTTCGAGAATTCAGTTTTTTTTTTTTTTACAGCGAGTTGTGACCTTACAAGACCTTTACTTACCCCAAAAATCGTGATGCTACAAAAATTTTAACTATTTAAGGTTTGCTTTTTTACTTTCTGTCCCTATTCATTCTTCATTGGGGTGAATAGAGACACCAGCAGATTTCAATGTAAATAAGGCGTTAAGTCCCCTTTCTGCTAACTGGAGAGTGAAGGGGAATACTACCTGAGTTGTAAAAAAAAGTGAAATTCGAGTCTGAAATGGAAAACCACGTCTTTAATTAGCAAAAATTAAATAATAAGAAGCAAACAGATGACAATTGTCCTATACTCCCTGACCATTGTGAGATCTGAAATATGAATTCCTAAAAAGCAGGGCAGTATTCCAGTCCCATAATATGAAATAAGTACATAAAAGTATTCCAAAGGATGTGATCAAAGGCGGAAAATGTCAAAGAAACCCCCCCTCCCTTCCCGTGCCTAAATCTATGTTGTCCCTTTTCATACTCAAACTCTTAACCGCTCGTTTTTTGGAGAAACATATTTTTTAAACCACCCATATATCGAGCAAATGTCATCATTTTTGGCGATGAGCAAGGTCTTATGATGTCAAAATGTGATAACTTAAAAAAAAAATTTCTCTTTTTCGTGATCCACTGCATGGGACTAGAGTCCCTTTATACTGAGAGTCAAGACAATTCGGCTCATGGATGTCACAAACGGGAATAAAGATTACACAAATTGAACGTTTTTCGTAATCTTTGATCGGCCCATTCTCAAATGCCTCTCTCCGTTCCTCCTCTCATTCCGTTCGTTCCTTGCCGAACCCGTAATTCCCTGGTCCATTCCAGATTATAATATTTGCAATTGGTGAAAATGTAATCTTTATTCCCGTTTGTGACACTGTGGAGGCCTAAAATACGGGAACCAATCAGAAATGGATTCAAATTGTCTTGACTCTCAGTATAAAGGGACTCTACATGGGACGTTATCACGCTTGTTTTACCGCTTTTTTCAAGGTCTGGTTTTGAGGTTATGTTGACATTTTTTGCTTTCACCAAACAACACCGATTACACAAAGCACTTAAGAAGGATGCCAAACCATGCATTTCCGAAAAAAAACTAGTTCTGTAGGTGCCAAACTTACCGAGTTATGACTAAAAAACGAAAATAAATCAAAATTGTCCCTCTTCACCCGCCTGTCCCCATTCACCCCGAATTACGGTAATCGATACATGCGATAATCGATTCATGCGATTATCGCTACATGTGTGGCGGCCAATCACCGCTCACCTCTGGCAGCGTATCCCGCGCTCGCTCCTGATTGGCCAACGCAGTCTCAACCACAGCTATACAAGTCGAGCTCACCATTCATGGAGGGCCAGCAACCGATTTTAACCGGACAAAAGTCCTCATAGGCGCCTAAACTTGCTAATATGAAAGAATGTATGTTTCAAGGGGTACTTTGGGTCGCTGAATCCATATATTGCGGTCCTTTTAAAAAATGTTGAAGTTTTTGATGAGAATTATTAAAAAAAGTTGCCTCCTCAAAACATAATTACCTACTAGCCACTTTTCTCTGAAGTCTTCAGAGGCACAATTTGAAAAAAAACTCGAATGTATTTGTTTTTAGACATGTTGAACTGCGTGTTTTGTTTGGAAAGGTTACCGGAAATAAAGAAGCAAAAACTTAGGAAGTTGCTACCCAGTTCCGCTCAAGAAATAGAGAACATTTTCCAATTAGGAACTGCAATATCTGGCTCATCCGCACAAACACTTATGCACATAAGAAAACTAATGGCACATAGTTCTCTCTAAATCAAGACAGGAATTGTGGCTCCAAACTGCAAAATGTGGTCCAATTTCTCAATTCAAAGATGTAAAATCGCAGCAAAACGGAAACCAGATTCAGACTAGGTATATGTTGCACTTAGTTTGCACGGATGAGCCAGGAATCGAAGTTCTCAAGTGCAAAATGTAGTTAAATCAAACCACTATAAAAGAGGATAAAAACGTCTTTGTTAATTTTAAAGAGCGGTCATTGAATTAAAGAATATTAACTTTCATCAGCTCAGCTACCTATTACTTAATCATTTCCTTTCCCTTGACATTTTCTGATTGATTAAATAATTAAACAGAAATCATCCTCAGAATATTCTCTGCTATAAGTACCTACCGGTTTCAACATGACTTTACTACCATGATACATCCACACAAAACTGTGGTAGAAGTCGTAAGACATTGTTAGGGATATTCATTGGATTTCTCCTGCTAGCTGGGTAGGTATACTTATTACATGTTTAGAAAAGAGATCCTCTGTACACGGGAGGAGTTTATCCTACGATAATTCTAGGAATAATCTAAAAATGCCGTTATTTCGAAAATTTCTCAGGATAACCTGAAAAAGTCAGAATATTCATAGGATATTCGGTGGATAATCGAAGTCGTAGGACATTGATAGGATATTCCTCGGAGCATTACTGGTAGCTGGGTTTTTTTTTAATCGGAATGCCCGGGATCAGGTTCCTGGCATCAAAATAGGCCAAGATTTCATCCTCTTTAATAGTTAGGGTAGACTGGGGTTAAGTGGGCACCATTTTGTTTGAAAAATCATAAAACAAATTTGGTGATAGATAGAGTTAATGTTTAAAGTACAATGTCTTCAGTAAAATGTAAGGTATCTGCAAAAAATAGTATGTTTCATTTTTTAAATTTCTTCATGGTCAAAATTTAGATTTTGTAAAAAATGGGATAGTGCTCAGTTAACCCCGTGGGGTGGGTTAACTGGGCACGGGGGGTGGGTTGACTGGACACTAAGATGAAAAAGCATACTTTAGAAAGAGGAAACTTTTATTAAGTCAAATGAACAAGTGGAAAAGTCTTAAAAATTAAAGAAATACATCTGAGGATGATTTTTTGTTTGTCTTAATACTTATATTATATACATTTTCACTAAGAGATACGGAAAACTTATTTCAATGACTTCTGAATAGGTCCCATGGTTGGTTGTCCTTTTTCTCCTTTTAGTTGTTAAAATACTGCAATTAAAAACAAAAAACAAGTTTTAGAGAATGTTTTGGCTAACTTGTAATCTATGGGGTTAACTGGGAATGCCCTCTTTAATCGCATTTGGTAGTGTTCAGTTAACCCCATTTCGGAATTTCAGAGAAAAAAAATCATAAATATTACTCAATTGGAATAATTACCAAAGTAATCACTGGAAATAGTACATAAAACTATAGATGAAACAATTAAGCACTTACCAAAGCCTTCCTCAAAAGCTAGATATGTCATTTGGGCTTCACCGGGAATTTACTTTTCGCCCCACGAAACACGTTTGTAAACATAACTTCAAAAAAAACAAAGATTATCAACTCGGCGCAAGGTACACTAGTAAGGGTCTATTAACTGATGAAATTGACGCGTAGTTGGTTTTGAGTATGCCCACCAGGTGGCAGCTAGGTCGAGTGTTCAGTTAACCCGCCGTGCCCACTTAACCCCAGGCTACCCTACATAGCGTAAAAGGTAACTTTTTTAACCCAAAACGACACAAAACTTCAGCGCTAAGAAGAGCGGCATATCGACGGTTGAAGTCCGAAACCACGTGTCTCGTTTGTGCTGTTTGGAAATCTCCGCCTCTAATATTATTTTTTTAAAGGAGAACAAATTGACATCATTCCTTGAAGTTTTTGCAACTTTTTTTTCGCTTTGAGGAGAAAAATCATGGCAGTCTTAAAGAATTGCCGTTGAGTAGTTTTCCGTTTAAAAATAAAGTAGGTAAGTACCTATGACAGGAAGTCTGCGACATCGCAAACCTAGCTACGTGGTTGTGGACTTACACCGTCGATATAAAATAAATACGATGCCTTTGAGAGCAGAGAACAAGAAGAAAGAATAGAAATGAAAATTCTAAACATCGGGAGAGAAACGGTTTCAAAGAGGCGGAAGTTAAGGAATAGCATTGAAAAAAGTGAAGGGAGAGTGAATTTTAGGAGAATGACAACGATGTGAGCAGATAAAAGATCGGGTAGATAGCTACAGAAGTTTCCCGGTTCATCCAAAATTTAGTCACCATTTTCAAAAAGTTTTGAAGAACTTTAATTAAAGTTCAGTTTTAACAGTAGGTGTAATGTTGCGTGCGCATAATTTCAGCTAAGAAGTTGAGGAGATAGAGTCAAAGATGAAAACACAAAAATCAGCAGTTGCAGATCATTTTTGGAGCAAAGAACCCGCCCGGCAATGGTTCGTTGCCGCACGTTGTAGCAACGTCGCAAAAAATCGAGTAACGTTCCTGGCTAACGTTGTCACAACGTTGGGAAAACGTTACTTTTGTCCGTGGAGCGCAACGTTTTGAGGGAACGTTGTCGCAACGTTTCGAGATAACGTTGTCGCAACATTGCTAAAAAGTTGCGATAACGTACACTGAAAAAAATTTTCGATGATTTATTTTAGGCGCACTCCACATTTTTACTCTTGGAATTCAATGCGGACTGCAGAGAAGTGTTTCTTAGGCACCCGAAATTCACCAAAGTCCGAAAGTAGCCGCGCTCCGCCCGGGTTCCCAAGCGGGCTCCCATCGAAGTACTAACTACGCGCGACGTTGTTGCTGACCTTCGGGGATCGCCCGTGTGTCGCTGCCACACAGCCACGGACGCTCGCATGAGGAAATTCGGTTATTTAACATTAATAAGCATCCCCAGATCTGGTTCAATAATAGAAAGCAATGATATTCTTGCATTTCTGTGTATAACTCTACAACGAAGGATACTTAAAATAATATTAGGAAGATCCAATTTTTGAAAGAAAGGAGTACCTATGAAAAAAAATTAAAAAAGAATTGAATAGATGTATTCATTTTATATAAATAAAAGTATTATTATTTTAATTATTTATTATATTGTTTTCTAATTATTTATATTTATTAATTTATTTTTTATTTTTAAATTATTTTATTTTTTATTTTTCTTATATATAAGTCGCTTTACAGCACTTCCTCGCGCTCTACGACTCCTAACCTCCACTGCTCTCTTTCAAACCACAAATCTTGAAAATGATCCAGAATGTGAAGTGTTTTTTCTAACCGTTTTACTCAGCAGCATAACTGCTGTTGAGAAAGCCAAAGGAAGTGTGTATGTAGTGTGCAGCAGGAATCAGGATTGTACTTTTAGCCGAAGGCGCTTCTCTGTTAAGTGAAATCTTTTTAGTGAGAAATAGTGTTGTACCGATAAAAATCAACTGAGTGTCACAAAATCATAAAGATACTTGACTTCAAGCATTACCTTTCATTTGATTATTAGCAAGTCTCTTTGATTCTGCGTCAGAAGTTGACTGAATCATCTTTGCTCGTGTTTTGATAAGATACTTCAAATCAAAGTCTTTCGCATTGACCTCTGCAGAAGGTATGTATCTACATATACTATTTCATTAATTTGCGAAAGTAAAATGTATTATAGACTGTCTCAGATAGGAAGAGCGCTGGAAAATCAGAATAATTTGCACTATGTAGAAGCAATGTATCGCTCGTTCCATTGATACCCGACTAATCGCCGAGCCAACCCCGCACCGTACAGAGGGTTGGTTATGAGCTCCGCGGCGCGTCGGCGTCTTACGCCGGGAATCCGCTCCTGAGGCCCGGGGAAAACCACCGCGCTGAGGCCTCGAGCATCGCGTTAGTTCCCGTGCACCCTATCTAGCTTTTTATTAGTGGATGGTAATCACTAATAAACTAATAATTAAAAGACTTTATTGAATTTGCAGTTAAGCGTGTGAAAAATCCGCTATTCCTCCAAATTTCGTAGCTCCTGAGTCCTAAGACGTAAAGGCAAACCTCAATTTTCACGTGAGGCCTGTCGTCCATGTAGCTTCATGCTTTTCGGAGCTCACGTAAAAATGGAGATGAGACCTTTGGTCAAAGGAGCGACGATTAATGGCAATAATCAGGGATTTAAATCGCCTATCCCGGTCTAAAGATGCGGAGGGAGTATGCGTTGCCTCGAAGTGGCTTGTGGTCCTCTGTGCGACGCATCTGGGAGGCGACTAGATGACAGGTAATGAGGGTTGAGGTACCTCCAACCAGCCAAATGGTGCTAATTATTCTGATTTTCCAGCGCTCTTCCTGTCTGGGACAGACTTATATGTATATTGATTGGAGAAAATCATCTGTTGAGAAACAACAGAAAGGGGAACACCTGAAATTTCAGTGTAAAAGTGTCCCCTCCGATTTGCAGCACATCATCAGCGTAAACGAAAACGATTTGATAACAGAGCAATAAAACGCTTTTACAAAGTTTGCGCAGCACATTAGAACAACATTGTTTAACAACGTTTTAACTAAAGTTTTTTAAAGTATTTTTGCAACTTTTTTAATAACGTTCTAAGAACGTTTTAAATAAATGTCGACTTAAAACTTTTTCACAACAATTTAAAAAACGTTGCAACTAAACGTTTTTCGAAACATTTTTAAAAACGTTGCGGCAACGAACTCGCAACCATCCTTGCCGGGCGGGAACATGCAATCAATGTCGAGCCGAAATTAATCTCGGAGGTAATCAAATACTCTCAATTAGATGTCTGTGTGGGAGTACATCTTTATACACAAGAAGGACAATTTCAGTTTAGACATCTCAGGAACTGCTAACACTCTATTCCACTGTATTCAGAAGGAGAAAGGCAACAGGGTCAAGGACGAAACCGTGGACCTGTCACTCGTTCGGTTGCCAGGTTCAGTCAGCGTACACTGAAGATGATATGAAGCCCCAAAACCGGCCCGTCATTTTTATTTATTATGTGCAAGTGATTTTTTTTTGTTTTTTAATAATTTCAATCATACCTACAACTGAATGCCTCACCAGAATAACCGAGTGTTGAGTCACATCTTTCAACTTCCGCATACAATTAAATAATGTTGTTTTCTGGTGTTCCAATTTATATTTTCTCAAAGATCGTACAGTCCAAAAATAAAGTCTTAAAATAAAGTGAGACGAAGCTCGCAAAAAGACCTGATTCATTTAGGTAGGGGAAGACGGGGTAATAAGAGAGACCATGGGGTAATAAGAGAGTGACACCCTTATTTGAAGAGTTGTAATTGAGTTACAAATTTGAAAAAAATAGGGCATATGCACCTATTAGTAAGTAACACTTCCTCAAAGTTTCAATGTTTTTCGTGCTTTATTTTAGCGAGAAAAAAAAAGTAAATATTTTTAAAAAAAATTTTCTCTTATTGTACCCCCTGGGGTAATAGTAGAGCAGGTCTGTATCTCGTATGAAATTTTAATTGTAAGCACGGAAAAGTATATAAGATCAAGCATTACATTACTCTTAATAGCACTGCAAAATTTGAGTGAGATCGGACTAATAGTTCTTGAGTTATGAACTTTTGACACTTGAAAATCGCTAAGTTTAAGAAATGAATTCAAAATGCAAGTTTTAGAAATTGTATCAAAACCATACCCAAAAAAAAAAACCCAATCCCCCTGCCCCTGTGTGCCTGCCAATTCTCTTTAGTGTAAGGCACCCTCAGGCCCTTCTTTTTTCGGTTTCGAGTCATTTAATGTGAAAAAAAAAAAATCACCAACAGTTTTAGTGTTCATTCTACTATTGTACCCCTCCCTGACATAACCTCACTCTCTTATTAGCCACAGGGGTCACCGCTTGGGGCCAATAAGAGTAGAACATTATAAATCAGTAAAAAAAAAACTAATCTAAAAAACCAAGTATCAGGAAGAAGCCCCATATCCTAAGCTTCAAAATGATATATAGTTCGATTTTTTATGAAAATGTTTACTTGACTTTATGTTGATTAAAGCGCCGAGGTACCCGAACTTCGAAACCCAGTTCAAAAAGAGGTTAAGTTTACACGCTGGTCCTGTCCCAGCCACTTTTCCGATTCGGTCCGGAATTAAATACGAAACGCGGCAATGGACCAAGATTCGTTCCCCACGGCGGTAGTTCTGTTATCACTCACCAGAGAGCGGCAAAATCCAATCTACCTTATTGTCCCACTCTCTTATTACCCCGTCTTCCCCTACATAAAGATTACACATTAACTGCCCCGCAGTCACGCATCACCAGAATGACATTTTTACTGTTTAAGTAACACGTGTTTTAAGGCTTAAAGTCATTTAAATCTCCTGTGGATTTTTTTCGTGGTTGGTGCGACCTTCTAACAAAAACTAAAAAGACCAAATCCTGAACGAAAAGATCATTAAGTAAAAGGATTGAGCGGCCAGTTACGCGTCTTCCCCATATTTTCTCCCATTAACTGAAACCCACCAATAACCCAGCAGGATGACTGCCCAGTGTTCAGCACGGCAAACAGGACGACTAACAAAACTGGTCGATCGCATTCCTCCATTCTCCGTACCTAACAATTCTCCATTCTCCGTTCGCAAACACAAAATTTCAACCACGAGGTTGAGTTGAGAGTACACGAGGTGCACAAGGAAGGCGCGGGAACGGTAAGGGGAAAGAGGAGAGCCGGGAGTAGTTCAGGGTTGTGAGTCACGATCTGGGAGGAGGAAAGTTGGTTGCCCTGAAAGTAGGGGAGGGCATGTGCTGCATTATCGAACGTTCCGGCGCTCAGTACCGTTTCCGAGCGCAGAGTGGCCGGGAGGGGTTGAAGATTCCCCGACTGCCGAATCCAGAACCCTAAGCGTCTCGAGGACTCCCCGACCAAGGGAGCGATTGAATTAGCGGCAGTGTTTTTTAGGCCATGGGTCTTGCATCTAGTGGCATGGTCGTTCCTTACGCGTTGCGGATTCCGAATCCGTCCCGTTTTCGTGTAACCTTCGTCATCAATTCTTTCCGATTTGTCAGTTACCTTATATTTATTAGCTGGTCTCATTTACGCTTGCTGTCCGCCCAGCTCACGAAGGCGTCTGGACACCTCTCTAGTGGCTTTGTTTACCTACGTTCCTGCAGTGGTGCCGAGAGAAACATATCCCGTCCGGGTGGATTTACACATATATTGTTGGAGTGTTACACAGGTGCAGTGCTTAACTTTAAACGGTGATTAAAACTTCGAATACCTTACTCGTGTTCGGATCTGTTCTATTTGGATACGAATTTTAAGTATTTATAACTGCAAAGTTTAGAGGGAAAGTAGTGCTGTGGATGCAATTCTATCCATCCCGGTGAGTTTCTTCGTAAAATTTTTCGCTCAAAGTTAGGAAAGTAAATATTTAAAAATCAAAGCAAGAAATCTCAGCCCCATTAGCTATGATGTTGCTGTAATACAGTAGTATCTAATAGAAGCAGCTTTCATTTTAGGACCCTTCCGATCTAACAGTACATAGGTACTTTACTTACCAACTCCTGTCAACGTCGCTAAGATTTTGCAACGCTAGCCTTTTTTCAGACAGCTTACAGACAACTGAGAATGTTAAATAATTCGATTATGAGGAAAATCGCGGAAAGGATCGTATATATTTAAGTTGAGTAGATATTTATACGTAGGATCGTTGAAATGGGTGTGAGAGTGTGCTACATGGCACTTCAGCATTCCTGACTCATACTACCCACCCTCCGACAGGGTGGATGGAGGGATCTGAATGAGATGATTACCGGGCATTACTTAGTGGTATGCCAGCATCCAAACAAGATTCATAAAGTATTAATTTTGAGACAGAGGATATTTGTGAGAGATTTCGATACAATAATGTCCGGCAGTATTGCCAGGAGATATACAATAACCCATGGCAATATTGACGGTCATTACACCGACAGCAATAGGTATGGCTAGAAAATATTTATAAACAGAAAAGGTCACGGAAGAAAGCAATTGCAAAACTGTGGATAGAAACATAAAACATTCAGGGAAAAAAGGGGGATACAAGGGCGCCCGTATTGTCTTATCAATTTTTACCTTCTATAGAACGTATTTATGTTTGAGGGAATTAATGCATCCCAAGTAGCATTTTTCAATGTAAAATTTGCATAAGTTGAAACAATGTTAGTAGTTATTAGTTGCAACAAAGTTGCAACTTTCGGTCGATAAGTGCCGATTTTCGGCGATCTTATCGGAAGATAAAGCTGCAACCTGCTGAGATTGCAAAATTGCTGCACCAAAGTTGTTCAAAATCTAAAGATAGGCAACCAGCAATACTTTGAAGTTGAAACATGCTTCAGCTTAATTGCAACTAGTTCCAACAATGATAGCTCCTTCGGGGAAGAGAGTAGGCAATCTGCAAATCAATCTATTAGTTGCAAGAATCAAACGATTTTGTTGCAAGTTGTTGCAACCTCTGCTACTTGGGATATGGTTTACGTGCAACAGAGTTCCTTTTTTAGTATACCTGTACATTAAGGGCACTCACACAAAACTCTTAAATTGGTACGAAATGAATATTTATTTATTTATTTACAAAATACACGGATTAAGTCCATTAACAAAACTTAAACAATAAAAACAAAACAAGAATGGCAGAATATGGAAACAAAAACAAATATGAACAAATTCTAACAAATTATAATATGAGATAAAAGAATTAACAAAATAAATTTACATTTCACTCCTAAGTTTCACCCTTGAAGTGGTCTCTCATCAGCGACTTGAAAATCCCCAATGTTACATCTAATAAATCGACAGTACTCCCAAGCTCATTATCCATCCTACTCAACCTCACCACAACTTGTATGATGGAAACCCCGGTAAGATAGCGGAATAAAGAAAAATTTAGAATTATTCCGTGTAACCCTACCGGGAACACGAAACCTAAGACGAGAAAGAAGATCGGAAGAATCAATGAAGTTGTTATATACATTTCAATCAAAAATAATCTATCCCCCAACACATCAATGAATCTTTACCACCTTTCCGAAACATAAAAAAAATGCACGATTGCACGAATATTTCAATCAAGAAATTAAAAAGTATTTTTTCTAATTGTTTACAACACTTTGGAAAACACTGTAGGTACCATATTTGTATTCCCAAATACCACACTGTGCAGTATCATACTTCGGTACGATTGATCGTTTATCATACTCAAGTAAATTCAAACTTTTTGGTCTCAAATTGATTTAGGTACTAAATGTTTGGCTCTATCATCTCTAGTGAGGGGAGAGTGGGGTTAAGTGAACCACTTTCTCTCGGAGCCAGCTACAAGTTACAGAATCATACCAAACTAGCCGTGATTAGCTCGCTTTGCGAGCTATCACACCTAGCCGGGGAATGCCCGTGGACAAGGGTGTTCCAAAAAGGCATCATACGACTTGCGTCCCGCGGTCAAAAAAGGAATGACTTCCGTCCCGTGTCCAAAAATCTCGAAAACGACTTGCGTCCCGTAGTGGATTGATTTGATTGTAATTCATTTCATATGGCTACGTCGTTACCGCAGCTCCACAACAAATCCGTGCTTTTCGGTCCGGAATTGTCTGGATTTTCGGTAGCTCTTATCAGAAGATGACATTGCACTCACAAATCACGATCAGCTTCCTTCATTCATTAGATCAGTGGAAACCCCAAGATAGCTCCTCGCCAGATGTTGACCGACCGTGTACAAATAAAACGTGTAAATCTTTTTTAAGAGTTGACGAGCAAAGTAAAAAAATTTTTTGAAAGTAAGTAAGTGAAATTAGCCACTCTTGTGCGAAACCTAGTGCGGACGTGTTAGTAAAAGAAAAATTTAACCATCGAGTGAAACGAAAAGCAGTTGAACATTTATCAGATAGGCCGAGGAAAATTATTCAAAACAAATTAGGTGAAGAAGAAATCGACGCTTTAAGTTTGAAAGACGTAGATAATATAAGTCGAAATATTAACGCGGCGCGGTTATCAGTGCAACCTCCTTTACCTAAAAATGTGCAAGATTCTCACGAAGCACTGAATTCAATCAGCATAATGACCAAAAAGAAGGAGCCTTTTTTACTCGTTACGCGGTGTTGCCAATCATGGTGGCAGCTCAAATTCGGATTTGAGCGCGGGACGCAAGTCGTTTTCGAGATTTTTGGACACGGGACGGAAGTCGTTCCTTTTTTGACCGCGGGACGCAAGTCGTATGATGCCTCCAAAAAAGTCGACCCTCAAAAAGTTGTGTTTTCTGGATGAAAAAGCGTTCCATTTAGTTAAACAACAACATTGGTCAAGTTTCAGAGTTCTAGTTGAAGTTTAATTGCTGCCGCATTGCATATTATTTAAACGCACGGTTCCGAGAATTGACGAATTTCGGCGATTTGATGATTTTTATAGGGGTGATGCTGTTACGCCAGAGCCCTAAAAATTTGAGATAGTAGCCTCTTATAAAACTCCTTTTGATACAAATTCAACATTCGAGCGTGCAAGACGCGACGTATATTTTAAAAATTCGGAAACTTGGCCCAAAATGCTGTTTAAGGTGATTCGTCAAGCTCAAAAGAAGTGGTCGAACTGGCATACGATATATCGCATCTTTTAGGTCAAAAATCTCGGCAGATTTTGAATTTTCAGCAAAGAAAAGGACGATAGCCCTTGCGCATGAGCCTAAAGAATCATTCGAAACCCAAAAATCTGCAAAATTCAGAGAAATGAAAGCAGGATAGTGTTCGGAAAAAAACCTCGCATTCGATACAGAAATCGATAACTGAATCAAATGCGAGGTTTTTTTCCGAACACTATCCTGCTTTCATTTCTCTGAATTTTGCCGATTTTTGGGTTTAGAATGATTTTTTAGGCTCATGCGCAGGGGCTATATCGTCCTTTTTTTTTGCTGAAAATTCAAAATCTGCCGAGATTTTTGACCTAAAGGATGCGATGTATCGCATGCCAGTTCGACCACGTCACTTGAGCTTGACGAATCACCTTAAGCGCAAATGGGATACATCCCAAGTAGCATTTTTCAATGTAAAAGTTGTTGAAACAATATTGATTAAAAGTCGAAACTAAGTTGCAACTCTCGATCAATTTTTGGTCGATAAGTGCCGATTTTCAGCGATCTGATCGGAAGAAAAGTTGCAACTTACCCTGCTAAAAATTTCCTCTGGGATTTCACCCAGGCGGTTTTGGGTAGGGGAATAATTCCCTGAGAAGTGGTTCCCTTGGGAAGTGGCTCCCCTGGGAAGTGACTCCATTGGGATTATGGGCATTTTTGGCGAAAACGAGAAAAAGAGGCGTTTTGGGCGAATATGAGATAATCAGTGAGACTTTTGGGCGAAGGCTGAAATTTTATTTTGATATTCATTCTGCACAACGTGGCAAACAATTTCCGTTCAAACTTGAGGAATCGTCTAGTAAGCAATTCCTACGTAAGTAAACTTTCCAATCTCGGAATTTTTATCATTATACTCAGTCAGTAAAAATTTGTCTGCCTAATTATGACGGTACCAACATTGAGCAAGATGGAAATTACAAAAAAAATAAAATACAGTTTTTTTTTTTTTTTTTACTACTTCAAATAGCCCACAAGGGCTAATCCCACAAGGGCTAATCCCACGCTTTTTAAGTCCCATCCCCCCTCCGTCCCTACTGAACCAGTCCCAGGCAACCATTGTTTGAGACCATCAAACTCGGGTCGCCTGGCCGGGAATCGAACCCGGGACCTCCCGATCATAGAGCAAGTGCTACAACCACTACACCATAGGAGGCCGACACCAGTTGGGGAACGTTTTAATGGTGGTTACTTCAAAATCTGAGTGAAATGCTGATCCGTTAATCGCATACGGAGCTCTTGTATTTCATTCCACATTTCGTTCTATACGTTTTCTAATTTATTTTGCAAAAAGCAGAAAACTGCAGGGACGTAAAAATTATTTACACACGCGTGAATTGTATAAATTTGTTTGAAGTGACGCGGCGCGTATGTAACAGTTCTATCACCAAACGCGCACTTACTTTGTTGTAAAATGTCTAAGTTTTCGGCCCGAGTACACACGATGATTTTGCGGTTTTGACTAACAAAACCAAATTGTTTATTTTTCTACTTTATTTCGGCTAGAAATTCGTAGAACTGGCTACATGTTTCCTGATATGATATATCCATCTTGTATGATATGAGCTGGTACCTATCTACCTATCTGTGCAAAATGCAACGCGTGAAATGCGTGCTCTGTTGACAAGCATTGAAACTCAATGTTTCTTTACTTCGCCCAAAAGTCCTATGGGTGAGCGTTCACACCCGTATAATTTCTCGCTCAAAAGGGTTACGATTTTGTGGTCGCC